GGGCCCAATAGGGGAAACATAGCAAATTATTCTTTAAAATCCTTCTTCTTCTGTAGGAATGAAAGGATTTGGTCCATATTTGGTGTGGAGCATCCTTGGGTAAAGGGGAACCAATTTTGTATAAACGGTAGGTGTGGCCCCCCTGGGACCTGAGGGACGGGGCCCAATAGGGGAAATAGAAGTAAAACCTTTATAATCCTTCTTCTACCATATGGATTGAGGGATTTTATCCTAATTTAGTCCGGAGCATCCTAGGACAAAAGGGACTCAATTTCGTATAAACAGCGAGTGTGGCCCCCCCTGGGATAGAAGGGAGGGGCCCAATAGGGGAAACATAGCAAATTCTTCAAATACCTTCTTCTTCTGTACGAATGACAGGATTTTGTCCAAATTTGGTATGAAGCATAATTGGTTGAAGGGGAACCAATTTTGTATAAACGGTGTGTCTAACCCCCCTGGAGGCAGAGAGGCGGGGCCCAATAGGGGAAATAGAGGTAAAACCTTTAAAATCCTTCTTTTACCATAGGGACTTAGGGATTTTATCCTAATTTAGTCTGGAGCATCCTTGGGCCAAGGGGACTTAATTTTGTATATGCAGTGGGTGTGGTCTCCCAGTGGGCAAAAGGGCGGGGCCCAATAGGAGAAATAGAGGTAAAACCTTTTAAATCCTTCTTCGACCATCGAAATTTAGGGATTTTTTCCATATATAGTCTGGAGCATCTTTGGACCAAGGGGTCTCAATTTTGTATAATTGATGGGTATGACCCCCCTAGGGGCATAGGGGTGGGGCTCTGTTTGAAGTTTGTTCTCGCTATATCTCAAGTACTGGATGGATCTTTCTGAAATTTCATATGTACTTACAGCACCTACCATGGAGTGCTATATCTTTACTTCATACCAATTATTTTAAACATATTCAGGTGAGCGATACAGGCCCTCTGTGCCTCTTGTTTTAACATTGATGAGTAATAGTTAAGAAAAACCCAAGCGTAGGTAGACAAAAGTGTTAGTATAAACTAAATTACAACACATTTGACAGATCGTGACATTCCACAAGGGACGTGATTCAAGTAAACAACGATTGTAATAACGTTCAATAACAATGACAACGATTTGTTATAATAACACTAAATTATACACAATCATGAAATGGCTATTTACTATGAGTGCTGTCGGGGATGATGAGGCTGGAACGGTGGCTGGGAAAGATTATAATGGAAAACCATTTATTCTGCTCTAATTACTTTTTGAATAGGACAATGATGGAATTTAAACGACTTATCAGCTTTATATTGTGTATACCTAACTATCTCTGTCCGTTTGTCTATCAGTATGTTTGTCCCTGTTTGTCCGTCCGTCCCTCCGATTCTCTGTTAGTCTGTCTTTCTGTGTTTCTCCCAATAACACACCTCTTTCTTCTTCTTTTTGTCTTTCTCTCTTTTTCATGTAACTTTTCCTCTTTCTCTCTTTTTCATGTAACTTTTTCTCTTTCTCTATAATTTTATTGAAAGTGAAAGTTAAGTTAGCGATGCTGCATTTCAACAACTTTCTTTAAAATAAAAGGTCCCACAGATAAAAAAGAAAAGAAACATAGCAGGATCAACTGTATAAATGTTCTATTTATTTATAATATTATTCAAAGGTACACTGTTTCATACAGTTTATTTCTAGAACGAATATCGAATCAATCGTGATATAAGCAACATCGCGTTGTAACGGCCACGCATTTTTTGGAGGTTTTTACTCAAATATACGTCTTTATCCTCGTGAGGAAATAGCCGAGAATATGTGTAAAACAACCTTGATAAAAACACACTAAACCTAGAATTATTGTGAATGAAATAGTGATAGAATATATGCAATATTCGCTGCAAAATAAACAAGCTTCACTGGCAAATAACAAAATTATGTTACCATTTTATGACATTTCACAGATCTCTACATCAAACAAATTTGAGTGTCAAATATTAACACCAGACAATTTCCTTTTTGCGATGATGATATTTCAAGACAAAACAAAAAAACAAAAACAAACAAACATACTAAAACAAAATGCATATTTGAAACAAATGTTAAATTAAATACACCTTACCTGGTTCCTTTCCAGAGGCTACTATGTACGAAAGTCCACGTTTGGTGAGAACAAACGCCATAAATATCTGTATGGCGAAAGTCGACGACATCCTCAGTCGTCCGGTCACAATGTGATCTACACAGCTGCTACAGGGACGAAGGGCAGCATAAAGTCAGGTCATGGGTGTCTAGTATATATAGCATACATATATAGCAAACTCCAATCGGATCGTCCGCACAAATACACTATGAGTGCTAGGGTGAGATAAACACGGCATTAACATACATCGGATACCCAATCAATGGCGACGATTCAGTCATTCCATGAAAATCGAATATATATCATTTACATATATTTTCAACAGTGTGGATACCCAAGCAATGGGATATTCAAGCACCTGATTAATTTGTATTGTGTGTGCATACTCACAAAGTTGGCGTAAGATGTGTTATAGCAGAAATTGATTAGATATACCGTCTTATCCTTGTTTGTCTGAACAAACATTATCATCAAAAATAGTGGTAAATCTATACAAAGGATGTGCTTCCAATAGATTATAAACGGGTTCATCGATTATTAAATAGGATAGGAGGGGATTCACGGAACATTAGCGCGGGGTCAAATTCTTTTATAAACATCTACGACATAATGATTCTTTTAAGAAAGCTGATAAGAGCCAAAATCGTTGTGGGAAACACAATTCTGTTTAACATATTTTTCAAAATGCGTTGTTGCGAGAAAATGTCGGAATTATGAGTTCCAATATTTATTACAGCTATGTAAACTGTGAAGGACATTTTGCAGAGCATTGCAGTGATCAAAAGACATGGGGAAGACCAACATCACATTGCTGCTATAATGCTAAAGGAAATGGAAAAGGGAGTTCAAAAGTGGTGTATGCATGTTCCATAAAGAGTTTATCAGAAGCTGTAAAGAATATGAGTGTTAATATACAGCAATACCTATATCTTTCATGGCTTCCCTTACTTCAATGATGACGTAATTTCACGACGTACTTGACATATAAAGGTACCCCAGCATAGTGGAAATTATTGTTTTATAAATAGTAAAGACCTATTTTGAAAATGACAAAATAGCAAAGCAGCGAACTGCAATTTGGGATTCTGACTTTTGTACCCCTGAATACTTACCATTACCTGTGGAAGGCAAGTGCGGCATTTAATAATTTGTAATGATTATTGACATGTTCGGTTTGTTTTAGGCTAGGTAGCTGGTACACACATGGCCATCCTCGACACCCAGGCGTTGCCAACGATCACTTACCGTTTCTGCACCCCTGCAATAGGTCATGACCAAATCCAAGGCATACGATTAGCTATTTGATTTGTTTCATGTACAAAAAGACTGAAAATTCGCTGAACTGTTACCTAGCTGTCATTACAGAGAAGCGATTATTACTTTCAATCTGGCAGGTTCAGAGCCTTTGGTTTCGTCATGGCATATTCCACGGGTGCAAAGAGTGAAATAGGTTGTAACCCCTGAATTTCGCGGCTGAAATTTCCTTGATTTTCATTGACTTGACAAAATGAGACTCTCTTGATGTTTCCTTATTTTGACAGAAAACATCATGATAGGTGCCATGCATATTGTGAGCCCGCGTTTTTTTTTTATTATTTTCCCCTTTTTGTCGGTTCCCTTTGGTTTCCCTTTATATCGATACCAATTCCGTACCCCACTCCACCATGTTTTTCCCTTATACTACCCGGACAATAACGCAACGTTCTCCCGGTCATAATGTTACAAGTTTCTTCGATATACATATGAATATTCATGAGGCTGCTATTGCACAATCGTTGAATATGACTCAGGCAAACAGAGATTATGGCGGCCATAATAAATTTCGAGTTACTCTGAAGAGGTAAATACATTTTTTTCGCATGATTAATCAATAAAAGACATATCATTGTCTCATACAAACTGCAATATAAGTTCTACCTGGGTCTCCCTGCTGTGCCAGATTTGGGTCTATGTACAGAGAGATTCGCTTGGTTTGGTTTGGTTCAGAGATATGCATGTGCTTGATAAGCTCGGTACAGATTTCGTTACAAAACAAAATATGCATGCAAACTTTTGGTTCAACAATTGAACTGAACCATGTATCAATCCCTGAAATGGTAGTGTTATATTCTAATACAAAATTACAGGTTGTATATTACCGAAATACATTTCGCAATAACGTTGACACATTAGAGCACCATGATTCAGCATCACTGACTTCTAGTATAACAAGTTTTTATTATTGTTGATGACGTGATGTTTAATTGCCTATTAGTATTAAATGATAACCTGGTGCCGGAATAGATCAGGTTAGAGATATTATGCCTATAGGACACGTATATTGATATACATGTTTCCATGTATAATATTCTGTCTTTGCGTATTGCAGAGTTATCTTCTCTTGGGAGTAGGTATTGATTTTTACGTCACTTGTTTGTGAGAGGAACGTCATCAATTTTTGAGAAAACGACGTAATTTTCTCACACAAACCAATGACGTAACAATCAATACCTGCTCCCAAGAGAAGATAGCTCTGCAATACGCAAAGACGGAATACACGTATATCTGACACATTGATATATACGTCAATATTAATGTATTCCGTAACTCTAAAGCTATTTTCTCTTACTGATTTCGCAATAAATTGTAATTATCTTATGTCATCTTGTCATTGGAACGCGGTGGCCGAGGCGTCTGACCGTTTACGATCACTAGCCCTCCACTACCGCGTCACGGGTTCGAGGCCTACGTTGGGCAGTCGCCAGGTACTGGTCGCGGGTCGGTGGTTTTTCTCCGGGTACTCCGTTTTCCTTCACCGTCAAATCCTGGAACGTCGTTAAATGACCAAAACTGTAAATATTAGACGTAAATCAATTACAAACCAAATCACACAGTTGTCACACCTGATGACTTTTTGTTACTAACGCAAGTGTGTCTGATTGTATGAATAAAAAAATGTTTGTTTGAGTGAAAATCTTGAAATCGTAAACTACAGTCTGGCCTATGTGGAATAGGGAAGAAGCAAAAACGCAAGCAGACAATGCTATGAAATAACTAATCTCGTGTCCTGGGGGTGGGGTGTCAAGATCGAGTTCGGAATTCAAGGTCGTCACCTAATAAAACATTTTTACCAAAATAAAGGGGAAACATCATGAGCTGTTACTACGGAATAGAAAAAAACAGAAATCCCTGCACCACATGTGGCCCCTGTTAGTACACCCCATGTCAAATGTTGGAACATGTAAAAGTCACTAACTATCCAAACATGTTAGGTCATTAAAGAGAAGAAAAAAAACTGCCATCGCGCTCGTCATCAGTGAATTAAGGCGTAAACTGGGACTTGTTCGTTTATGTGGAACAACCGGTTCGTCTGTTTTGAAATTAATATTTTCATGTATACATCTTGGCGGACCTGCAAAGGTTTATGCAGGCCTTACAAGGCTTTGTCAGGGCTGGCCTGAAACCAGCATCAGGTTACTAGGTCCGACCTTATCTCAAGGCTGGACGGAAGGACAAACAGACCATCACGTAGTGGCTTGATGAACGAGGTTTGAAGTAGTCGGCAAACAAGAAGACGACCGCGTAAAACTTTTTATGATAGATTAAGGCCTCTCATTACGGTCAACACGACGCTCCACAGAAATTTGTGATTGTTTTAATAATAATATACATTTGATATAGCGCCTATCTATCTAGATTAAGCCTCTCTAAAGCGCTTTACAGTACATAGATATACAATTTATACAATCAGCAAATCCATTCATCAATACAATGTTTTGAGGAATTCGCAGGATCCACCTCACTTGAATGCTACAGAACAGATACCCCAACATCCACCCCAGATCATTTATACTCCACCTGGGTTGTTGGAGTTGTGTGGGCTGGAGAAAAACGCTTTCTCTGAATATTCCATGCGTACGACGGATTTGGGGATCGAACCCCGGCCGCCTGCGTGGAAGGGCGGATTGTTAACCACTCGATCAATCAGACCCGTTTTAAGCATATTCTGGATTTTAGATGTAAATTCTAGCAGAGGTTTGTTCTTGGTGACAAATGTGGTGCAACTAGTTCTTCTATTAGATAAAGGTACAGATAAAATGTCATTTTTTTCAATTCTTAAAAAGAACTTCTGGTTGAGTGTCAATGTGTTTAAAGTCTTCCTTTTACATGGCAAGATTAATGGTTTGTATTTTAAATGATAGTTTTATGTTTGCTCCTGCAAATAAAAACATCTTTAACAAACCAGCACACAGAATGTAGACTTGTTCGATAGAACAAATTATTCGAGTACAGACAATATCTCAGTTTCATCAGCAAAGTAACGAGTTATCTAACTCGGACGCGTAATAAACCTTTCTTTAATGTTGATTTTGTACTTCCGGTTAAATTCTACATGACATGATGCTAATGAAGGAGACCCGTTCAATTATTCATCTATATTAAATTTTGAACCACTCAGAAATTCCTTGTCATGCCTAAGGTATATGTACTGCGAATTAGCTGTTAACCCATCCTCGATACTCCAGGGGTTACGCTCACTTACGCTCTCTGCAGCCCTGGAATACGTCATAGCGAAATCGAAGGCTCAGAGTGCACCACCTGGTGGATGAGACGGGAAGACTAGTTTGATCATTTGATGTACATCAAAAGAATTTCGCGGTCCCGTCATGGTAAAATTGACTGGCATGGAAGTCGGGTGTCGCTCCAGCCTATGAATTGGTCAAGGTGTTTTTTTACCCGAGACCAATCAAATATCTAGCCGCGTGCCTTCAATTTTGCTCTGACATATCCCTGTGGTGTAGAGAGCGAAATTGAGCAACGTCCTATTATTTCAGAACGTTTATCTCCTTGCATGTAATGTACCGGTATACGAGAGTGCCAGAGGCGGGATGTTGGTGTATTCGACACAAGCATTCATCCATCTAGATAAGTGTATTATAAACCGATATTTTAACTTAGCTATAAATATTCTGTTTTTGATTGTTAACCAAAAAACAAACAAAAAAAGTTCATTCTATATCAAAAGAAAAATTGTGTAATATAAGATTCGCCGAGACGCCAGATGGACGACTTCCCTTTTAGTATTTTGCCTTACAAATGCGATGGGCCGATAAATACAATCCAAAAAATCATTTTCCTGTCAGCTACATCTACATTTATAATCTAAATTCTAATGTAGGTGGTAATACATTCGGATATCTATTGTGAAATGTACGAACATCTTCACTCCTTGCAGGTCGGGGGAAAAGAATATACCTACTGTTATCCACTGCATATTGAAAGAGGTGCAAGAAATGTGGGAACTCCCTGAGTGGATTAACTTGTATGCCTTCTACTTGGGGACACAAAAGTGACATAAATAAATATGCTGCACTAATTGAGATTTTTCTATTTTCTCTCCACTTCTTAACAGATTTTTTCGTCTCGCAGTGCCTTGTTGAACGTTTGCCCAGGTGAGAAAGGCAATAGGTTCTGTCCCCGGGACGGAATCTACCAAAATCCTCAAAAGTGATAGTTACTAATTCCCTTCAAAGCATTTAAGGTAAACTCGTTGTCAGACTCATGTGACCAGGTGTAGTGCTGTGCTGGGTGTCTTCGGCATGGCATTTCAGTGAGATAGCACTTAATTCACCATCAAATCCGCGCTATCGCTAATAGGCAAATACACCACGATACCGCCTCCAGCACGTACACGCTGTTACACAAACCGGACGCGCGTCCTCTAGGCGACTTAACTATTACTTACTAGGGCTATAAACCCAATAAAACCCCAACCAAACCGAAAGACGTAATTACGGTGATGCTTCACACGAACACTGGCTGAAGCATCCATTTATAAGTCATTGATTGCAAGATAAATCAGTCAGTATGCCCGCATCCAAAGACCGTTTAGATAACTAACACTAAACGTACGGTGAAGTAAGAATTAACGATACTGTGGGAATTATCTAGATGAGTTCACGTTTAATTATTTATAATATTGTTTATATATCAATATACATGTATCATAAGTAATTACACCCGAGCTAGCTAGCAGAGACCGACTAATAAGTACGTGTAGGTCATACCAGTGCAATATGAATTTCCTCTTGATTAGCTCATTGTCGAAAGGAAATTCACACTTTCTTGTTGATAATAAATGTAGAAAAGGCGTGCTAAAATCGATGGCAAGTCATATTTTCGTTAAATACAAAATTGATTTATTGCTGGTCCTAAGAGATATTTTCCCAGGAGACAATGTCAGTGTGAGGTCCTCTGGCCTGATAACAGGAATTAACTAAAGGCAGTGTCTGTTTATCTTTAACGGTCCAGAGCTAGAGTTTCACGGCAATGTTCAAATACAGTGTCCCAGTCATGATCCACGTAGTTACATTTTAGTGGCCAATTCAAGGGGTCACATCTCGGTGGTTAATCCTCGATTGTTTTGGAAGCTTCAGTACCCCCTCCCAAACCTTTCAGTTCTCTTTTTCTTGTTAAAAATGTGTTTTCAGTTTTTCTATTCATAAGGAACAAATTGGATCCAGAATTGTATGTTTGTGAGGGAGTATTACAGTATTTGCATATTACAATCACAATGAATACATCAGGTCAACTCCTTTATCACACGAACCAGCAATTATCATTAAAATCAAATTTGTACCCAGAGCTTCTTAGATTATATCTAGAAAATCAAAACATCGGTTCGTCATTGAGTGTAATTGGTAATTAGGTGCCAGTGAATATTTTCATCAACTGATCACAACTTAGGGCATGGATAAGTCAGGACCAGCAAACACAATCTTAATATAGTGTATTGTAGTTTGGTTTGGTTGTGCTTTACTTCCTATTAACAGGTATGGCCATTGAAGGACAAGCCAGGTTTCGATGGTCGAGGAAAACCAGAGTGCCTGAAGGAAAAACCATCCACCTGTGGCTTACCCCTGTAGGCCTCAAACCCTTGGTGGAGAGCTGGTGGTCGTAGATGGTCAGACGCCTGAACTGCATATTCTGGCTTGGAAGCCAGGCACATAATTATATAAAACATGACAATCAAAAAGGTGGTTTAAGTTTAATATACTGGTAAAGTTCACAAGTTTCACAAGTAGATCCTCTCTCGCCAAAGGTAGATAACAGTCTCAGTGGTGACAGAAATATCAGATATAGACAGCAATAACAGTCTTTCCTATCTATTCCAACACTTGTTCTAGTTGTCCTCGGACGTCTAATCCATACCAATACTGAATGCTTCTGTCATTGCAGTAGAAAGATCTCCAGCCACTTTATCTATCAAAAAGGGAAAAAATGATTTAAATAGAACATTTGATACATTCTCTGTAGATCAATACAAAAGTATATTATCTGTGACATATTGCTACATGTTCAGTCCATCAGTAAAACTTTTTTGCCAATTAATTAGAATCTTTCACATATTGACAATCAATTAAAATAGTTTCACTACCTGTTGGCATTAACTGTTTGGAGGCAGATTTTTTTTTAAACAAACTATTTCATCACACAAGACATTTTTGATTGTTTATAAAATATATTCTATACACCAACACACAACTAACCTGCTCTTTTCCTTTGTTTCTTCATCTTTTTGAAGTCTTGTTTCCTTTGCTTGTTGAGTTGTAATAGTCCATTATTGAGTTTCTCTTGTGCCGCTTTCCTATCGCCTTTGGATCTCTTGGCTTTGACCTTCAATTTGTGTTTCTCAGCTGACCCTCCGACAGTTTTCATCTCCACTGATCCTTGTCCTTTCTTTGGGGTCCTACCTCCTTTCTTTTTAGCGTCAATAGAGACTGTCATCTGGTTCATCTGAAAACAAAAAGGAATGCATACAATTGCTATAAAGCCCAAACTTCATCTGGCCCTGTCAGCACTTCAAAACTCTCCCATACCAAATGGTGCCAGAGAATTCGTTATATATTTTCATATAGTAGTGCCCTCTGGCCCCACACCAGAAATATATCTGTTGAAATATCTTAGTCTGGTGTCAGGACCAGAGGATCTCAGGCTAACAAACTATACTGAACAATCCTTTTGATCAAAACTGACCTTCTACAGGTACACAAAAGTTAGACTTAGACAAGGATCACCTGGGATGTAGATCAATTATTGCTGACCTCAGTGATGATGGTATATGTAGATATATATAGTCTACACCGACATTAGTCTACACGGACATTCACTCAATAACCAATGTTCCCACAAACTGGAGTTATCAACTCATAATCTGCGCATAGAACGTGACAAATTTCCATGATGTTGCCAACAGTTCATGTGAGGGGGTCTATGCAAATTTCCCATGAACGAGATACAATTGTGTGACGTCATCAACAGTAGATGTGGGCAGGGTTAACCAAAACTTTTATTGAACCAACTACACGTTAAAATTACAATCTGTATCCCTTGATCTTACTGATTAATACAATAGTTATGAAACATTCACAGAAAACCAAAAGTAAATTAAAATATTTAAATCCTGATATAAATTTGTTTTACCATACTGTTTATAGAAAGATATTAACTGTGACATTCGAATAACTAACCATATCATCTTCATCTTCTTCCTCATCTTTTTCTAGGTCAGAACCCTCCATGTTCTCTTCATCCTCATCATCATCAAACTCATAATCCTCCTCCTCCTCCTCCTCACTGTCAATCTTTGTGTCCAAGGCCTCAAGGTCAGACTCTGACATAATGACCTTGGCTGCCCCCAGGGAATCCACCAGCATGTGTTTATGACTCCGGGTCTCTAACCCTAGAAAAGGATGTCGTTTATTTGTATATTGTTGTGATTGAAATTCCTATTCATTTAATCCTTATTCTCTAATTGCCCTGGATACCTTTTGGTATCTATCAATGTGAGAGGGCTTTAACCGAACAAACCAGTACACTGGGCCGAATAAGTTGCTTTTTTAACTAGAACAGAGGTTTTTATATTGTAACAACAGGACTTCAAATATGCTACATAATGGCACATACTTGTATCAATTAATGAACTAGGATAACTTTGTCATTCTCTTTTCACTTCTAAAATATCCTTATCCTATGAAATACAATTTGATCACACCAGCAACAATCCGACAACATTGTGAATTTACAGTGAAAGGCGAAACTGAAGGAGTTTTTAATAGTTTTTATAAAATATTTTTGTGACAAATTGTTACCACAAATAGGTAAAGCATACAAACAAAGGAATATTAAACTGACAGATTCTAGCTGAATTTAATGATACTGAATGTAGGTTGTTTCATAAAAGTTTTTTTTAAATAAGAACTGTTAAGATATTTCTCAGCATCCATATCAAATGTTGTAAACCTACAGCCATTAGCCATCACAACCTCATTCCATTATTATGAAAGAGTTTAAGAAAACAACTTTGTGACAGTTTACATTTTTTTTCCACAAAATCCTTCAAAAAATGTACAATCATTATTGCTACCTTGAAGATTCTTTTGTTCCTGTGATAATAGATCGTCCAAACAGAATTCCTTGCCCATTTTCGTGACAAATTCAGCGCTGATGTGGGTTGGAAGGGTGTGCTGCTCCGGAGGCTGTGTGTAGTATGTGATCCGTCCACTGTAACGATAAATGTCAGATCTAGAGTGGTAAAACATGCCCAGTGAAAACAGTAACGCCTTTTTCTTCTCTGTTAATGTCTTACAGAAAGAATAAGACAGATTTGCATGTATATAAAAAAAATAGCCGAGCTATCTAACATTATTACTGTACAGTTGTGATTGGCAATCGGTCAAATATCATAATCGATAATGGGTTTGTAATCAGAGCAGTAAACTGATCGATGACCAATTGCATGATCGGTTTATAATATTAAAGGACTGAATACCCAAATATAGTAAGAACACTACTATAACATTGACAGACAGCTGATAACAACTATACATTTGATTTCTTCTATAATGAATGGATTTCAAGCAACGTTTATGCAGTTTATCAATCATATAGTACAACCCATCAGAATGTGACTTTCAATGCATCCTTCAAGTTTAAGACATTTAACACTTTGATTTCAATGATGAACCGATCATATCGATTATGGAATTTGTAATCAATAATCGGTATCAGAATCGAAAAGGTCAAGCTGATCGATTTTCGATTATAATTGATCATAAGCACATCATTACTGTACAGTATTACAAACTCACAACAAACTCGAGTAATACCAGGGAGTAGTAGCCTGCCTGGTCCCAAATGCTTTTAATAATTTGTTATCTCAAATACCTGTACTTTTCAAGGAATAGCCTTCTATTTTAGTCAGGTGTTTTTTATAATAACTCCAGTTGAGCATGTGTAAAATGAATAGATGGCTATTCCTTATAATTACAGTACTTTTCTGTGAAGGTTTCACAACTATTTCATTCATTAGTCAAATCAGGGGAAACCACTTTCATTTTCAAAACTTATTAACATGTGATCGGTTCAATAAAAGTAACAGCCTGAAATTTGCATAAGCCTTGGTTCACTCTGCTCACATCTACTTTTGATGACGTGACATAATTATGTCTTGTTTGCAGGAAATTGGCATAGCTATGCCCACTTGTATTTTATCAATGTTAGTAACATTGTTACTGAAACTGACATCTGCTATAATCGGATAGCTCAAATACTATATTGTTTATCTCAAAAATACATTCTCAATGGTATATTTTTGAGAAAAAAAACAAATCAAATTTATTATCAAATACTTCAAAATACAATTTGAATCATATTTTTTCAAAACTTAATCATTCATTTTTTCACATTCATAATGTTGTAATCAAGATTTTCAGTCGGTACTAAATACCTCAGAAGTATATATTTGTAAGACAGGTCAGCCATCTTACCATGTCCAATCGTGTAATACGGTTTTAGCAGCTTTGCCTACATCAGGTATTCCCCCTTTTTTTAGTTTCCCGAATCGTTTTGCCAATAGAGCCAAGAAGTCGTTGACGTTGCTGTAATCTGGCACTCGGTAATGGATCATCAACTGAAATAGCAGACATGAAACACTACACATCACGGGTATAAAAGGAAATAATAGACATTCTGTATAAAGCTAGTTTTTTCATTATTCTCGATATATTTTTATAAATTGTGTTACAACCAGTTGATATTACGGATTTGTGGTCACAAATACACACATTACAATAGTAGAAGAAAATGAACCTGTTCTTTAGAGCAACGCTTCAATATGGCTTCCACTGGCCCCACAGGATCTGCTAGGCTTTCCAACTGTAACATTGACAAAAATATGGATAAACAAACCATAGCAAAATCTTTCCAGTATAAAATACAGCTCCTTCATACTGTATTTAATACTGTATTTCAAACTCTACAGAGAAATCGAGTAATTTAATGTGTTTACTAACATTTATATTAGATTAAAAGTGCATTTACAGAACTGATTACATCATTTCAGTTTATCCAGAAGTTTACATCCTACGGTAATTTGTCTGAAAAATAGCTTGAAACTGATATTTGTGGGTTACATGGATTACTAAGACCCTATAGAAAGCTGGAAATGGCATCTATTTATCAGAACAAAAGAACAAATGTCATTATCATATTAAAAATTAGCTTTTAGATAATAGTTCGACTGTTTTTATCTAATAATACAGATTTTATGATATTGTATATCTGTGTATGTCTAACCTTGACACAATTCCTCAATATCACAGACATGTCGCTAGCTCCCGTCGCCATGACAACCCCAGGACTGTCCAGCAGATTTATATATTTGTCTAAATGTACCTCTTGCATGGCTCTGCAAACAAGACAAAGGGAGGTTACACAATCACACCGGAAACTTTGTACATGTATTATTGTTTTATCTTTGTTTGTTTGTTTGTGTTTTACGTCCTATTAACAGCTATGGTCATTGAAGAACGTGCCAGGTTTTGGTGGTTGAGGAAAGCCGGAGTTACCGGAGAAAAACCACCAACCTACATTCCAGTACCTTGTTTTATTTATCGAAGAGCATTGAAAATCAAAATATATAACACTGTGAAAACAAGTACAAACTTTTGTTTGTGGCTTAAGTACAATTAATATGACAATGATAACACATGCATTATGAAATAGACAATCTTCATCATACATGTAGCAGAACTGGACTAATCGATGACAGGTCAAAAGGTAGCTCAATTAGCTAAACACCTGTCTAAAACTTTAGAGTCTCTCAATAAAAATCTCAGTAGAGTCGCTCAGTATAGACCCAATCAACCAGAAACATTGGAATAAAGACCTGGATGGTTGGGATGTATTACCTAGTAATTCCTGGCTGTGATCCCACGTTACAGGCCTTACATCTCTTCAGACTGTTTATTATACTGCTCTTCCCAGTGTTAGGGAAGCCTGAAACAGAAATCAACACCTTAAACATCCCCCAAATAAAAGGCTGCAATCATTTTCTCACTTTAGCCATTATGATTTGATGCTGAAGTATTTACCATAACTATTTACTAATATACTTGAAATGATTTGGTTTGAGATTTAACTTTTACTCGTAGACATTAATATACAACCTTAAGAGACATTGGCAGAATATGGTTGCCATAATACTATTTTCTGGCCACACCCACTCATCTGATCCCTTTGTTCAGACTTATATCAACCTGCCCGCTGGTGTGATTGTCTTTATCACATATACTGATCACTGAATAAAAACTGCCAGTACAGCTGTTATGATCACTTACCAACCACGCCCACTCGTATGGCTGTCTTGATGTCTCGACTTCGACAGTAGTTGCCCAGCAGCTTCATCAAGATGTCGGCTCCTATACAGTGACTGGACTTGAGAAGGTCACCACTCACCGTGGCTAAGCTAGTCACTTTTTTCTGACTCTGTAGGTCATAAAAGTCAAAAGTTATGTTTTGTTTTCAAAAATAAGTCGTCAGAACATGAACACATTGTCAGAATCACTTCACTGATCATGTGTGATAACATTTGTATAAATAGACATCATCCGATTCGCTTAGTAACTTGTGAGAGAAAGCTGACTAAGTAAGCGCTTAAAGGACTCTACGTAGGAAAATTAGCCAGACTTATGTTGGGTGGTTTTTTTTTAAATTTTACAATTTTATGAAGAGGATAATACATGTTGATTGAATGAAGTATTGGTACAAGGCCAAAAGCTTATTTTGTACATGATCCGTTGATAAAAGATTTGTGCTGGCTCTCCTTACCAGGTTCTCTGCCTGTGTCTGTGTGGATGCCTTAAAGGCCACTGTGGGGAACTCATTCCGTAGGTGAGTCAGCCAAGCCTCAACATTCTCACGTGGAACAAGGTCTGAAAGACACCAGAACAGCAAATTAATCATCACCATTGTAACCTGACTAACTTATATTTTCTATTACTACCTTGAGGTCAATTGATTTGATGACAGCTTTATATAGACAACTCAAGATCTATTTGTCATTAATGTAGCCATGGATTTCCATTCCTGTTTGTAAGATTTTCTTGAAATGGTTTCACTTTGTGACTATAAACAGATAGAAAAATATAATTAGATCAAGATGACATTCCTGGCTGTTAAATCTTTTTGAACTCTCTTAACTAAAATAACTAGACACAGATAAACTAATTTACCATGACAGTAACTAAACATGTATTGACCTTCCTGCTTTTTCATAATTATCTGATACCTGGACCAGTTTCTATGGGTCCTGTCGTAGTTTCTTTTATTACACATACATTGGTTCCCGTTACAATTTCTAAGTTAACTTAAATGCCACTACCTATTACAGTAACTACCTATTTTATTGAGAACCAGCACTAGGCGTTTGTTGGCTCCACTGCTGATGATTGCCTCCTCCATCTCGGCACACCTACTCCCCAAAGGGTCCCGTGCATCCAGTACCTCCAGTACCACGTCCGCAACATCCACTACCTGGAGGTCAGAGCCATTAAAAAATATATATATCAATAAAAGAAATAATACCCAAAGAGATATCGTAAACTCAATAAAAGCCATTTCTCTCAGGACCATACTTAAGGAGTAGAGTTATACTAGTTCAAACTAAGTTGTTAAGTCATGAAGAATTCGAAATAAAACTGAAGTTATGAGATTCTTAAGTTGTAGTTTTGTCTTCTGTTCTAATTTAAAGGAATTTCCTACCTTTCTGAATTCTTTGTAAAACGCCTTAAGAGAAGTCTCCACTGCTTTTCCTGAGGCTTTGCCATTATCTTCTGTCACTGTTTTCTGAAATCAAATTTAGATTGGATGTTAAAACTTCATGACATTATGACTGCTACATCAACAGCCATTATTTTGGCAAATAAAAGTCCACAGTGCTATTCCTTTAGCCTGAACACAAAGGAACTGATATTACTGATATTATCTGAATTTTACTATATATTGTTTTTCACCTGATTAATAAATATGTATACAATGGCTGCTTTCTGGTTCAAGAGAATAACCTTACCTTCTTTTCAAACTCCCCACCCCTTTTCTGTGCATCTTTTAGCATTCCTTCTAAATTTCTCTTCTTTGCTAAATTCCTTGCTCTATCCTTCTTCCGCTTTTGTTTCTTTTTTTCTTGTTCTTCTTCTAGCTGAAAACAGAAACATAAAGCATAACAAAGATGTTTCCATGACTACATATAAACTAACTGATACTTCTATGAAGTAGTCCAGTTTGGAGAATATAACAGAGCAGAACTTCGTTGCTTACCATTCTTATATTTACATTCAAACAAAGAAGAAAATTCAATTTTATCTTTCTGCAAGGTTTAATTTTGATAATAAAACTCTTTCAGCAAACTGCTTTACCAAATGATGTAACAGTATTTTTGGAAGCAACAAGGCAAGCTATTAGCCAGCCACCTGTCTTTTGGACGGACAGTTTTCTTAAAAAGGCCCACTTAGACAGGCAACTTCTCACTACATATCCTTACTATTTAACTTAATTTTGGACCAGCAGTTTTGTCAAAATGGGCTAAATATCAGCTTTTTGGACATGTAAGTTTGCAATCCTGGCTAAAAGACTGGAAAAGGTTCATGTTATGTATGGTTACTTTTGTTGTCAGGCAATGAACTTCGATCAGAAACCTTTCAGGAATTTTAACAATTTGAGATTTGACATCAGTGGTCCCCGATTACTCTACCAAAATGATGGAAACACACAAACAGTTTATGATTGGAAAACACTCTCATGTAGAAGTGACTGCTAGTTTATAACAATAGTTTTGGTCGGGAGGTTTATCTAAGGACTGTGTAATGAAAAAAAGTAAAGATATCAATATGCTATAGATAGCATTTTAAATTATGAAATATCACACTGTAAGCAAAATGACAATTGTACCATGAGTTTACTAGTACCCTAATAAATCTTACCCTTTGTTTCCTTTCCTGTGCTTCCTTTAGGACACTTTCTTTAAACGGCAAACTGTTTGGGATCCCTGGATCCTTTTTCATCTCTGATAAAATAAAGTAACTTGACCATACATACATATCCTGGGTACATGCAAAATCACTTTAAATTAAGCATTAACTTTAATTTGATTTCAAAAATATTTTGGATTACAATTAATTGCGAATATATTTTGGTTTGTCATCACCGTTACTTTTAATTATTACTAGTAAATTTAAAAGATTGACAATCTGATAAATGGTCACAATTCACAAGAAAAAGGTGAGAATTTATTCATATAAATATACATGTATACAGTACTTACTTTTGCTGCCATTTTTCCTTTCTAACTTTTTCACTTTCTTCTTGTGCTGTCTAACCTAAAATTAGTGAAGTACCTTTACCATACACATTCTTCATGTTCTAGTAAAGTTTTCTTGGTAAAAGAATTTAAGCATCCAGATATCATTTGAATAATTTGATTTAACACACCGGTGTAAAAGATGTGCATTGATTAGGTTGCCTCACAAGCGCAGCTGTAGGGAATTTCCCTTCAGCTCAGCGGTAGAGCATCGGGCTGGAGAGCCAAAGGTCGCGGTTCGGTCCCAATGACGGCACTATCTTTATCACTATTCCTCGTCCTACTACAAACTGGTGCCATTGACCCTCCCGGTTTAAGGTACGAGAACCCTTAGCGGGGAGCAAAAGAACCTGGGTTGGTGATTGAAAAAGGGGGGAATAGTGTAAAAGATGTGCATTGATTAGATTGCCTTACAAGCGTCAGTTGTAGGGAATTTCCCTTTAACTCAGCGGTAGAGCTCCGGGCGCAAGTGTCAAGGGTTGCCGGTTCGAGCTCCAATGACGGCATGATCTATATCACTATTCCTCGTCCTACTACACCGGTATATTTACAATTTTTTCCTGCCACAAACCTATTACTAGTCCAATGTATTTCCACTAATTAAGAGAAGCAGATAGATATCAATATTCTCCAGTATCATATAGGGGATTATTGGTTGCTAATATTAGTAGCAAGATATTGATTTTGTCATGGTTTACAATCACTAGGTATATCACTAGGGACAAGGAACCAAGATGAGATTTGCATGTTAAGAATTTAAAATTTTCTAGAAGTGCTAGCTTTGGTTTAATTCTTTATATGAGATTTGCAGGCAAAACATTTCAAAAATTCTTCATATACAACTCTTTACAGACAGACCCTTGTTTTGTTGGCGTGGGTTTTTTTCCATTTTTTTTCAACTTACTTTTTTCTCAACTTTGTATCTAGTTTTGGCAGACACTCTCTTACTTGCTTTCCCTGTATGAAATATAAATACATATTAAAAACGGAAATGTCTTTATGACATATATAGGAAACACATGTCAATACAAGCTCACTTTCATGTTGATCTCGCGTCTATCACATACTACGTACGTAAACATGTGATTGATAACCTCCTGAATTATTTCAATATTTATTGCTAAAGTATCATAAAAATAGTGTGTACTGTTTTGATTTATTTTCCTATGAGTGGATTTGAAGAGGATGTGTTGATGGTCACCGCTTCTATTATAAGCATATTTTTTATAATCCCTTTTCGGTCAAATCAGTGTGTAGTTCGAATTCTAACACCTACAGTGCAATAGGGCTTCATGCCACGTGCTGGTGAGTGAAAACAACACGGTCACTCGATCGTGACTGCAAATAATTTCAATTAAATTTCAGTAGAGCTATTGTTAATCTAATCACAGAGAGAGTGCTAGCTAAGGTGTTAGGTCGTTTCGGGACATGTCAAAAGTCGTTTAGGGATTTTTCATTTTTTTGTATGTTCTGTACATACCATTGTCTTTTTTCCTTAAACATATTTTAATGTCAACTAAATGTAAACAATCGATTGGATACAAATTATTACAACTTATCATAGACTTCTTCCTTCATACATTTACCATTTCATGATTTTAATGACTCATGAATAAATATATATAATACAAGAGACAAGAAGCTTTATTTAGTGTCGTATATATAATATTCATACAGACACAAATACACAACGTAAAAACATTGTTCAAATTATATTGCTGGATTTGATGAATTAATTCACATGTATAAAATACATTCTACCTGTTTCATGTTTTTTACTTTCATGAAATTTAATTTCAATATAGCAAAATCAAAATGCTTAAAACATTGTTAGAATCAATGTTAATTAATTCGTCTCTTATTGTCCATAACAATAACGGAGAATAAAGTGAATTGAAAACATAACTTTACAATATCAAACAAGGAATTCCTCTATATAGTTCCTCTATATCTGTATTAAGTAATGAGATTAGTTTCATCAGGAAACAACATACTGTCAGTTGGGTAAATGTTGGTAGGTATCCCCTTAAGCATTAGCAATCTGTTAAACACGATAATGATCACAAGCACGGGTAGGCCATATGATACAGGTCATAGACCATACTTGTGTATTTACATGACTTTTTATGAAACGGGAGTGAAATGTTATTGATAAGTGAAAATTGTATATATCCCGAAACAACTTAATCGATTAAGTCCCGAAACGACTTTGGGACTCCCGAAACGACTCGTTACCGAAACGACTAGCATTCCTAGCTAATTACTGTGTTGTGTCCACTGTGGTGTTGAGAAGTGTCAATATTTTCACCTGAAGCATGGCAATCATATTAGCCTTTTGAAAAGAGTAAGATATAAAGGTACTGATCTGTTACTTTTTTTTTTTTACTGTTTTGCATTGGGCAATCCAATCTACAGATATACTTATAAATTACAAAAGATGACAAAATTTAAGTCTGTCCAATTCTGTTTTAGTTGTCGTAGAACTTAGTTCCTAGGCTACACTTGGTCTTGTAACAAATTTATAAAAATATATACCAACACGCATAAGCGCTTGTATTTTTTTCACTTATTTGTAGCCCGAGTTTCCTCTGGCCCTGACACCTGCAGTCTTAGACATTTTGACTGATCAGCTGATAGATGTCTGGTCTCACAACATCGTTTATTGATGCCCATGATATGTATAAAAAGTTTCATTAGTTTGTGAATGTTTATACGGTAGGACTACAATTACATTTAAAACTGATATTGGTAATCTTTCCAGGACCTAGTGTATCAGAATATACATGTTTATAAACATATTATATGGTATGGTGTTGACCAGTTGTCGATCTAGTCTTGTTGATACGCAGGCATCATCAAATCGGTGAAGATAAAAATGGGATACATTACGACGGCGTGTATCATAAATATACGGCGTTGTTATCAAGTGAATTAAATAATGGATGTGTTTACTTACTCATATATAAGTTCGCCATCGTATAAATCTGTCCCTTTCACCACAACCACCACGTGAATTTTTAAGAGGAAGTACTGAAGGTATGTGTAAAATATAAGGCGGAAGACTGAAACAAGGTTCCGGAATTCAATCATCTTATAATCTTGAGATACAATGTAATATTTCCATTAATGTTCAGATATATATCATATTTCCAACTTTGACATCGAAAAGAGATTATACTTATATAAACGCTGGTATTCCCTTTATTTCCGAATCCCTAATATATCACAAAGGAGCTCCCGATTATTTACACACAAAAAACGAACAGCAATAAGGGACCCGAGATTTATTCAATGTTTGGATCTTTTCCTGACGTTGAGAGAGTGTGATTACCAGGTAGACGTTTTAGGGACTTGGGACAACACTAGATACAAGTATGTGGAAGTCTGTTAGACACCCTAAATGGAAATCTGACGTGTGGAGATGTGAAAAAACACACTTAAATACTGCTCCGACAAAGATAATGTTTGATGTATATGATATGAAATAAGTTACAAAAATAAAAACCAAATATATACCATGCAAGTAATAGGAATGAAAGGAGAACGTCACACGGCAAGCCTCGGTTTGACCCAAATTCTTTATACAGGAGTAGAATTTCCATAAACCGCTAATAAAATAATATAATCCGTAGCGTTCTCGTTACCGATTATTTTACTGGTAAACATAAGTTTAAACACATTGCAGTTGCAAAATGTTAATAAAATAATCATACTACGACTTTTTTCCAAACTATTAAGTGTTCTAACCACTATTCAAGAAAAAAGATAAATTGAAGGCTGATAATTACAGACCTGATAGTATTTTGAGTATTGTTTCAAAAATCCTAGAAAAAGCAATTTATAAACAACTGGAACAATTTTTGATTGATAACAACATTTTGTATGAGTTCCAATCTGGTTTTAGAAAATCCTATTCCACTGACTCCTGTTTAATTCACCTGGTTGATCACATAAAGTCCCAGACGTCTAAAGGTCTCTTCACTGGAATGGTTTTACTAGACCTACAGAAGGCCTTTGATACAGTTGACCATGGGATTTTGTGTGATAAACTTGGTGTAATGGGCATTGAGTCGGTGGAGTGGTTCACATCATACCTTTCCAACAGAAAACAATTAGTCAATATCAATAATGTGAACTCAGATATTTGTAATATAACATGCGGGGTACCCCAAGGGAGTTTATTGGGACCGCTTCTTTTTCTCATTTATGTAAATGACATGCGGATCAGTATTGACCCAGGATGCAAATTATTTCTGTACGCAGATGACAGTGCAATTATCTTCTCGCACAAAGACCCAAAAATTATTTCAAAATTTCTATCGAAAAACTTAGAGTCATGTCACGATTGGCTAACAGATAACAAATTATCCTTACATCTTGGAAAAACAGAGAGTATTTTGTTTGGCCCCAAAAGGAAACTTTCCAAATTACCTGAAGGCTCATTTTCTGTTTCGTGTTACGGTAATATAATTATGCCTCAGGTGTGTGTCAAATATCTTGGTATTATATTGGACAACTTTCTATCTGGAGAACAAATTGTCCAAAATATTATAAAAAAAGTGAACCAGAAATTGTGGTTTCTATATAGACACCGTGACTGTCTCAATTTTAGATCTAGAAAAACCCTGGTGTCGGCACTGATCCAATGTCATTTTGACTATGCTTCTAGCTGCTGGTTCGAAAACATATCCAAAAAACTTCGACAAAAACTACAAATTACACAGAATAAAGTGGTCAGATTTATTCTGAAACTTGATAATAGATCAAGAGTCACCCATCGGGAATTGGAACAAGCTAATATGTTGGATGTTAGGGGCAGGGTGAAACAGCTCCGTTTTAACCATGTCTTTAATATTCAACATAACAAATGTCCATCCTATATGAAAGAAAATTTTACTAGAACAGAGAAAAAACACTTTACCAGGAACAGTGATCTGAATTTCAACATTCCTTATATAAAAGGTGTGGAATCATCATCTTTTTTCTATAATGCTATCAAAGATTGGAATAACTTACCACATTCAATAAAATCTGTCGATCACAAGATGAAATTCAAAAGCGAGATAAAAAAGTACTTACAAGTTTTGGCAAAAAATGATTTTGAGCAAGAATTTGTCTTCTAAAGGTAATTTTTATTCTATCCCAGTGGGTGACTCTAAACTTCTTCTAAAAATATATGATGTATTACCAAAATTTTAACTAAAGTACCAATATAATATGTACTTTTTATAAATGTTATGGAAGATTTTATTACCATCATCCTCAGTCTTTATTTTATTAAAAGTCATTTTTATATATGTATTATACCCCAAATTGCTATAATTTGTTAGACAGATAATAGGTTGGTAGGGATTGCCCAACCACCTGTTGTCTGTTCTACACACAAGTACCACAGTATAAATGTATATGGCCTAACACCATCTTATATTGTTACTTAATATCTGCAAGAATGACATCATCTTGCATTATGATACAGTGATACATATAACTGATATTTTAATATTACAAGTGGAAACAACATCATGCATAGCTCCACATATATATATTATCAGAAGGAAATCATATTTGCTAATGACAACTCCATCATATACCGTCAAATAAAATAACATTTTATTTTGATGAAATAATATATCATCATCATATTTGACCAATTACAACTTATTCTATTCATATATATATTATTACGAGAAATCATACCATCTTATATTCATATTATAAGGTCAAATCCTTAGGACCTTTTGTTATCTAAGTAATTAAGATCTATACTAGAGGACCCCATTGGAAATAAGCTGCCACCCAGCTTTCATGGGATATCCTAGGTTTAAGCTTAGTCAAACAGATACATTGTATTTATAGTGCTCCAAAATTTGTGATATTAACTTTGATGTGATAATCTAAATACTGTGATAAATCTGTGATTATTATGCAATTGAAATTCTGTGATCATATGTGATATTTGTACCTGTATCTTGCTTTTACCGAATAAATATTATTATTTCTAGTTATGTAAATAATTGGATTAGATAGCATTCAAATCATATCACTCTTCTCCAGTAGATCGGGACTTCCCAATCATTCGGTCGGATATAACGGACGGCAAATGGGATTAATCATTAATGGGTCAGCGCTATAAAAGTGTGTCATCTTATTTTAATTACTATTGAATAGCCTACATTTCACATGTGATTGTCCATTGTATAAAGATATACGTATTTTACTATTTGATCAAGCAGCAATTTTAATTGAAAATGATTTATCAATGAAATCATGTGATAAATGTGTACATCTTAGGAATGAACCTGAGCTACAGAATTTATAATGCAATAATTGTATCATATTTCATGTAAATCTAGTTGTTAATCGTATTTTAATGACTACGGTGTCTTGTAAAGCCAAAATTGGCTGAACAATGTATATAGTTTTTAGATTTTCATATAACTGTATTGGTTTGTATATATATTGTGCGACACTTAAATAAATTATTGTTGATTGATTATTGACTATTCCTTAGCCTAATATGCTGAAGTCCTTGCAACACGTGAAACGAATGGAGAAGATATGCGTTTTATCGACTTTAAATCTCCTGTGATGACGGAATTAGATTGTTATCCAAGTCCATGCTGTGGTAGATACTTTAAGCAGAAAAAGTCGCGATAATTAAGACGCTTAAGAAATGATTTGGCCATGGAGACGTTTGAAACTTGAAATATTTTCATCCAAAAGTTTTTTAAAAATATTTAGGTAATTATTAACAATAATGTATATATAATTGCATAGTCAGCATCTATAGTTTTGTATCTAGAGTTTATATGATTGTGTTGATCTTATTCCATTCGGAATATCTTTAATAAGGAAAAGCAATTATACTCCACTCCTGGCAGGTGCCATGCTCGACCACTGGCCATTTATCCAACTTTCTTTTGATGATTGCTTATAAAGAGATTTAAGATTAATATCTAGACATTTGAAGTCAAAGTACACTACATCAATGTTCTTTCCGAAGTCCAGTGCTCAGCTTTTTGTCTTAAACGTCTAATAATCGCAGCGTTATTCTGAAATCAATACAAGGCAACCTTAAAATCATCAAATCATCATCTTCCTCGACAGGAGGTGACCCTAAGGGGTGTGCTGCTCCAGAAATAGAACTCCAGAAATAAGGTGATTCTGCATTGTAGGTTTGATCTGAAATCAGGAATGCTCCATTTTCTTCAATATATCTCATCTTTGAATTGTATTAAAGGGCACGGTGTCAGGAAGCACCGTCATCACTTCGAGATAGAGAAGTGACGTAGGCCAACTCTGTGTTGTTTTATACCCTTATGCAAACGACGTAGAGCACTATAGATACAGATTTAGAAGTCACTTTCATGAGCGTTGCGATGAAGAAACAACATCAATATTCGAGTCCTTTCAGTAAACGTGTCCGACGATATAATATTTGTGTTTAAAATTCTGATTCTTTTTCTTCATTTTCAACAAAGATTCATTTCCTGTCTATTCCAAATCGTTGTCACAATTTGAAGGTAGTTTCTGGTGGTAGTAGAACGGTGTTCTGTAGTGAAGACAAAGCTACTCCACTACAACGGAGAATATTTTTGATGAACTTGTTTTTTGATGTTTTGTTCGGTTGAATCCTGAAAGGACGACCTGTCCATCAGCTGTCCTTCCTCAGGTCAAGCTTATCTCCTTTTACCAAGTTTTGTTTAATTAGCTGCAAGTCAACAGGATGCAGTTCTGTTGAGCAATTCCTTAGGGCGTAACTCTGATTATAGTATCTGCTTGAATATGGATCAATTTCTGTTATGATTTGCAGACATGGCTGCCATTAAGTAATTAACCGTGACTGTAGGGGATATTGCCCATCTGTACGGTGGCTGATATGTGCCATTTCGTTGTTTCGTCTTTTCGCCCCGAAAGGACGACAATTAACAAATCTTAATTCTCGTTGTGTCGTATTTTCGCCCCGAAAACAGCGAAATGGCAAATATCAGCCACCGTACATCTGACCAAAAAATGGCTAACTGCTGCTGATGAAA